ATGGTGATTTGAAAAGACACTCCTACTCCTTTTCGTCGACCTTTCTCCCTTCGCTACTCTTCCGGGAAAGCTGGGCTAGATTATGCAAATACCTTAAACTGCTACTCAGAGCTCCCCAAAGCAAGGGGGAGTGAAAGAGAGATATTTGCAGTTCCCAAAACACTAGCCATAGTCCACATTGGAGAAATCTTTCATGAACAGAAATCTTTGCAGGCAACTCCTGTCTCAGGCTGGTCCTGTGGCTCAAGATTAGGGTCAGAATGAAATAAGACTATCATAGACCACCTAGCAGTTAACAAAAGGAGGTTTACTTTACTATAGCTTAGAAAGGATAGTCAGCAAGAATAGAACATTGATTCAATTGATTTCATTTTCTTATGTCTTTGCTGGCCAGATTGGTGCCTAAATCAAGGGCTGAGAGAAGTGCTCCTGACTTCTCCTGGGCTGGCTTTTGTACTCCTGAAGGTACAACAGTGGTTCCAGCCTTTGCCCCCTGGACCACTTATGTCTTAAGTATGATTCCAGTACTTCTTAAGGTACTGGCCTTTGTGGGGTAGGACCTTAAGAAAAGTAATCCTAGCCCATGTGGCACTTGTTACAGTAGATACTATTCCTACCATACAAGTGAATACATGTTCAAATGATAATTCCCTGAAACATTTTGGTGGAGCAAATTCTGATGCTAATAAAGTCCTTCCTGCCTGCCTGCCTGCATACCATGATCTGTTTCTTCCTGTAGTGTTGACATGGGTACAGAGGAATCAAGAGCAGTAGTAAAAAAAGAAAAAAAGAAAGAAAAAAGAAAATATGAGGAATTACTGGTTTTTGAGGGAAAACAATTGAACAGGTAAAACTTAAATGCAAAAAGAAATGAGAGTGAATAAAAAATAATTTTTAAAATTATCTTATTTTTGTCTTACTTAGACCCTCTCTCATCCAATCTCTTTAAATCTTCCTCTTCAATACCTCTTTACTCTTCAAACTAATGTACTAGGTAATCTTGAACTTCATTATTTTTCAGAAGTTTTTTTTTTCAGGCTTATTCTGTATTTGCTACATTTCCTTGAATGGTTGTAATTAGATTCTCCTTAGTTTCTTGTTTACAAGTGCTGTGAAGTGAGTTAATTAGCATTTACCAAGTGCTTAGGCTCTGTGCTAAATCCTTGACAGCCCAAAAGATGCAAAAACCAGGGCCTGTTTTCAAAGAGCTCACAGTCTAATGGGAAAGACAACATACAAGTAACGATGTTCAAACGAGCTACGTGCAGGATCAGTTAGAGATAACCAACCAAGGGAAGTCACTAGAATTAAGAGGGGGTGGGAAAAGTCTCTTGCCCAAGGTGGGGCTTTAATTGAATCTTGAAGGAACCAAGGAAACCAGTAGCTGGAGATGAGGAGGGAGAGCATTCCAAGAATGGGGAATAGCCGGTGAAAACAATCAGAATTGGGAGATGGAGTGTCCAGTGAGGAATAGCAAGGAGGCTGGTGTCACTGGATTGCAGGATACTTGGAATGGAATGAAGACTGAAAAGATAAGAAGGGTCCAGGTTAAGAAGGGCTTTAAAAACCAAATAGAGGATTTTACATGTGATCCCGGAGGTAATAAAGAGCCACTGGAGTTTATTGAATGGGGGTGGGGGCTGGGGATAATCAATCCTACATATTAGAAAGATCAGTTTGACAGCTGAAATGAGGATGGACTGGCATGGGGAGAGATTTGAGGCAGGGAGTCCAACCAAGCAAACTATTGCAATAGTTCAGGCGTAAGGAAGGCAATGAGTGTCTATATCACGATAGTTTTAGCGCCAGAAGAGAGAAGTGGAGGAAGGAAAGATGTCTGGAAGTTAAAAACCACAAGATTTGACAACTGAAAAGTAAAAGTAAAGTAAAATGGGAAATTGAGCCCTTATCCATTAAATTCACTGGCTGAAAGTAAATGATCTGAACCATTCAGGTCAGAAAAACTCTCTTCAACTTTATATCTTTTTTTCGGTCTTGTCTGAACATTTGGATAAATTGCTCCAGCTCTCCATTTTATTTTGCCCTTGTTGACACATCCTTTCTGGTGGCTAGGATGCCATGTGGTGAAATGACAGGTAATCTGAAAAACTCAGAATAAAAGCCCCACGTCTCCTTCCAGAACCATCCCTGTCTCTTCCTGAATTCCTTAGATAATTGCTTCAAACCTATTTGAGATGGTGATTTAAATCAATTCTAAGTCATCTGCCAAACTTCAGAGCATAAAGCAATATTCCTCAGAATTTAAATGTTGTCTTTCTATAATCCAAAAGAAAAGGGGTTTATGCCAGGTCTACAGAAAGTACCTGAACCATTTACATTCAAAATAGACTTAGTACCCTATGTGGAAAGTGAAATAACTCATCCTTTTCAAACTTGTGCCAGACATCAAGCCAGCCAGCTACCTACTGAGTATTGTTCAAAATCCAACTTTCAAAAAACAAGAAAAAAAACAGAGCAAAACAAGAAAGGAATGAAAGCAGAGGTTTCTGCAGAGCAAATGCTTGCAAAAAACCCAAACAAACCTCTGGTTGTCATGGAGGAAAATCCCATTTCCATGGTCCTATGCTAAGCTCTTTATTTTTTATTTTTTAACATACTGAGTCAAATTCTCTCAGGGTTCATCTTATTCTTTAGAGACATGGTAAGTATTTTTTGTAATTTTGGAGGATGAATTAACTTAGGTCACTATGATATTAAGTATAATAGAACTTATTATGCAAAACACTAATGTTGGAAGACTAGGATTTCATTCATGTCACAAGCTTTCTCTGTTCTATTTAGTGAGCTGTATTAAATAGGAAGCATGTTTTGCTCTGGAGTATAAATGAATCCATAATATAGTGAAGAGTTTTAGATATGTAAGAGTTTGACGGTAGTAGCCTGGTGGATAAGCCTTACTTACTCATGAACCAAATTAAATAATACCAGCTCCATGAAATCATTCCTGATTCCCATTGGCTTGAAACTGAGTGGGATGTTGGCCTGGACCTTACCACACTCATTTCATTGCCTTGCCTTTGTATCACTTGTTTGTTAATAAGCCAGGTCTATGTCATCAGCACCTGTCTATTCCTGTCAAGGAAAAGAACTTTTTGTTCTTATTTTGTGGGAGAACCCGAGGCCTATCAGAATAATCTTGAGCTACTGGGAGCATTAAATGAGATATTTGTGTATAAAATACTTTGCAATAGTAAAACTACATGAATGTTAATTGAAAAAAAATGTAGGAGAGGGTATTTTCCAGTAGTAAAAGTAGAAATATCCACTTTGGGGGTGGGAGGAGCAAAGACTAGGGGTAAGAATATGTGTATGGGGGACTACCTCACCTCCTTGTTTCCAACCTAGTATACCATTGAATTAGAAGCCTAGAAGCTATATTTTATATGCAAGGGGCATTCAGGTAGAGAATACATTGGGGATGATTTATATTCATTATTAGAATCTAGTTTTTGAACTTTTAACAAATTCCTCTATGTTGAATTATAAATCAAACTGTTACTAACAAGTCTTAGGATTTATTTTTACTCGTTGTTCTTAACTAATAGCAATTGTCCTTTCATGACTTCAGTATCAACTTACTTTTAGCACCTTGATGGCAGCATGTACATGTACGTGTACATTTGGAGCTGTTGTTAATAGAGAGAGTCCCCTGAGATTGGACTTGGTCCATCATGTCAGAGGTCAGGGTCTGATATGTGGGGTGCATTTTGGCCTTAGTGCTTTTCTCTAATAATAATTTCATTGGTTTATGGGCTGTCCCAGAGTCTCTTTCCCAGAAACATCAGAATCTAGCTCATGTCTTTAAAGGACACTCAACATTCCTCTAAGCACAAAGGCTAACAAAAACATTAAACATAGAATAATTTTATTGAAGGCATAATGAACACAGAAAAGAACTCATATCTGAGCCCTTCACAAAGCAGAAGAGAGCCTTCCATTAATCTCTGTTTTGCTGTCCAACTCATGATCCCCAAACATTTACTTAGTGAAGTCTCTTGACTCACAGGAGGAATTCAGGTCCCAGTGCTGATGCAGCATCCCCATCTGGTGCTGGCTTCTTCTTTGGGGGGTGGGGTGGGCAGGAAGAGTTAACACTGAGCCAGTGGTCTATAGTGGTTACCTCACTTTAGCATCCCCAGATCTCAGTGCAGTACTGGTAGTCTGTATGGCTCCATTCCTCTGGTTCACAACTGACCTTACACCCATAATCTACTGGGCCAGCTCTCCATTTTTTGTCTATGTGCCCCATCCCTTTCCAATATGTCACCTAAAGTTGTTCTCCTTCCCCATCATTTCTGACCTAAAAGCTCTCTTCTCTCTCTTCTGTGTGCATCTTTGGGTTTCTCCTCAGCCCCAAGCAGAATAAGAAGAATTGTCTTAAACCCATCTTCCTGAGTTCAAATCTGGTCTCAGACACTTAGTAGCTGTGTGACCCTCAGCAAGTCACTTCACCCTATTTGCCTTGATTTCCTCATCTGTCAAATGAGCTGGAGAAGGAAATGTCAAGCCACTCCAGTATCTCTGCCAAGAAAACTCCAAATGGGGTCACAAAGAATCAGCATGACTGAAAAATTACTCAACCACAGTGACCAGAGGCTTGATGAAAGTTGAAAGGAATTTTCTCACCCTAATCCAAATGTGATTCAGATGTGAAGGAGGGGCAACAAGGAGGAAACAGAGCCATTTAGAAAACAGACTTGATGAGATTTTCTATGGGTTGTCTGGGTGAACCTATGGGTCTTACTCAAAGGCACTGGAATGGTTCTGAGCTTTGGACACAAAAAAGACAGATGACCATTCCCTTCTAAGGAAGTGACAACATAGTAGCTCAGCAGAGAATCATAAGGTGTCTGTAGATCACTAAAGCATTAGTAGCTGCCTATAGTGCAGCATAGACAACACCTGCCTAGCAGATGTCCCAAAGAGAGTAGCAGATGACATCAGCAGCTCTCTGCGGAAGTAACAAGCAGCAGTTTCAGGATCCTTGTGGGCCGCGTGTTCACTTAGTTTTAAAATGTAACATTATCTATGTTTTATTATATTTTTATTTATTTTATAAGTATTTGGCAATTAAATTTTAATCTGGTTCAGGCCACACTCAGGAGTGTTGTGGGCCTCATGTAGCCCCTGGGGATAATAATCATCACAGTACCAACTTCATAGGATTGTTGTGAAGAAAATACTTTCTAAACTTCAGCAAGGTATAAGTCTGAAAGTCAAGAGATCTGGGTTGTGGTCCTACTCTGGCTACTAAATTATTAGTGTGACTTTGGGTAAGTAATTTCATTTCTGTGGACCTCAGTTTCCTTATCTATAGAGAAAGGGACTTGGGCTAGGCTATCACTAAGATCACTTCCATTTCTAACATTGTTTTTCTCTGACTTTTAGAAATGTAAAATTGAATGAACCTAAGGTTTTCTTGTCGTGTAGTCACAGTCAGAAATGTGTTTCCTCTGTTCTCTGGAAGAGGTGTTAATGAGTATTGAAAGCTGCCTAGTAGGAGGGAAAAGGCAGAGAAGCAAGGGGCCAAAATAACTCACAAACTAGACAGTCACCCAGAAAACATACAAGAAACAGCAACAGAGAAAGAACGCTGGGGCTAAATGAATGAGACCATAAGTCTCCTCCTTTACTTCCTTATGTCCCCAACACACAGAGTCCTGCTCTCTCCCCCACGGATAGACAAATTTCAGCCATGGTACACGAGAACATTTAATTTAAGCCAAAGAGACCTGGTTTTAAAATACGGCTAAGGTCATGATGTGAAGAAGTCATACTAGGACAATTTTTGCAAATCACCCTGGATTCCAGGAGTTGACAACGTTGTATAAAATCCAAGAAAATGGAATTTGAAAAGGGACTGTGACAACACCTGTTAAAAGAAAATGTCTGAGTTGCCTACATAGGGAACTGGGTGTTTTCACTTTGGAATTTCCAAACTAGGCCAAATCTGGCTCTTGGAACCACAGAGCTACCCCTGGCATCAATAGGGGCAGTGTCTCTCCATTTTGAAAACAGAATTTGTACCCAAGCATCTGTCACTGTTTTGATTGAGTTGCTGTGTCTGATGACTTACTGTAAAAACATTCCAGCCCTAGGTACCATATTAACTAATAAACTCCTTTGTTTTTGGCATTTTTATTGTGATTTGCTTGATCTAGTTAGAATAATTCTACCATGGATGTTTGCTCAGCTCCTACATTGGAGGAATCAAAGTGATTTGAGCCATTTGGCTTTTGCTTATTTCTTCTGTTTTCAGTAATAAATCCAGTTCCCCATGTAGCTAGTAAGTAAATGGTGGCTAAGTCATGAGGGAAAACAAATTATATCAATAGCAAGCATCTTTTTATTATATATATCATATTTCTGTACTGAAAATACAGCTTCTTTTGAGCTTTTTTCTTACTAGTCTTACAAACCCATAAAAGCTGATATATATTGACATTCAAATTTATATTGAGTAAAGTTAAGAAATGCAGTTGATTTTGAAGCATCTTTTCTCCTTGAATAACTTAGACAACTTAATTAGATCCATCAGAATACAGTTGGCAATGTATCCATTATTTTTTTCTTTCAAAAATTTTTCTCCCCTCTGGAAATTTTTTCAAAGCAACAAATCCCTTGTAACATCAAAAGGATTTTGAGTAATTGCTTTTTCACCAAAATGTTTTCTGTGGGCAGCAGACTTCTTGAACAAGCCCTCACTATATTCCTTTGGTACTCACTGATTTTTTTTTTTAAATAATGATGCATGTGGCTATCTGTACTTTCCAGTGTTCTATTGAAGTTGAGAATTCCTTTTTGGGCATGCTCTTAAAACCAGAGAATCACAGATTTAGAGTTATAAGGAAGCTCAGACATTATGGGATCCAACCCTTCAGGAAACTGAAGGGTTAAATTGCTTTCCCAAGGTAAAGTAGCAGAGCAAGCATTCAAAGACAGGTCTCCTAACTCTAGATGGAATCTTCTTTCCCCTTAACTACATTGCCTCTCTGAAAAAGTATGTCCCAGTGTATTTATAAGGAAACCCAGGGTTTTCCTTATAAATGTAAACATAATGTAAAAACACTATGGTTTTGATAGCATATCATCAATTATTGGCACAGCATAATAACTATATGACTGTGCTTTACAAGGGGCAAGAGAGGCTAAACAAAGGGAGGAAATTCTCCTAACTTTTGTGTAGAAATGTTTACCCTTGAAAGGCATGTGCCATAATAGATATGACAATCAATATAAAGTATAACTTCTTTAAAAATTCCTGCTCCCTTCCCCGCATATTCTTTCTTGGTCAATTTTGTAAAACTGACATATTTATATACTAAGGAGTCTCCTCCCCTCTTCCCACCAGATGAAGGATTTTCTGAAAAGTGGCAAAATCATCAAGCTGAAGGAGAAAGCCTATTTTAGGCAGAAGCTGAACAATTAGGAGAGAGTGTAAGAATCTAAGCAAAAAGACAGAACTGTGAAACTTGTGCTTATTTTCCATTATTAGGAAGGAAAAAAAGCAGGCATTTATTAAGCACCTACTATGAGCCAGGCACTATGCTAAGCGCTTTACAAATATTATCTCATTTGATACTATTATTGTAATAATATATCTGTTTTAGAGTTGAGGAAGCTGAGCAAGCAGAAGTTAAATGAACTGCCCAGTCACAAAGCTAGTAAGTATCCAAAGGCACATTTGAACTCAGGTCTTCTTTACCACAGGACCAATGATCTATTCACTGGACCACCTACCTGCCCAGCAGTGTTATTAGAAACAGTTCAATATGCAGGCCTTCTGCATACCTCCCTAACTAGGAGTGGGACGCATTAATGAATTTATTAGACACTTCTGCAGCTGCAGCAGCTTCTTCTGCTTTCTTCAAAAATGATGATAAACTGGGGTTGTTGTTCAGTTGTGTCCAATTTGGGTTTTTCTTGGCAAAGATACTAGAGTGATTTGCCATTTCCTCCTCTGACTCATTTTACAGATGAGGAAACTGAGGCAAACAGGGTTAAGTGATTTGCCCGGGGTCACACAGCTAGTGAGTGTCTAAGGCCAAATTTGAACTTAGGAAGATGAGTATTTCTGACTCCAGGCCTGGCACTCTATCCATTGTGCCACCTAAATGCCCCTAAACTAGGGTAGTCTAGGGAGATGGGCCACCCCATGGTTGAGGTTCCTAGTAACTCCATGATGGATGTCTTTCCTCTTGTGTAAACAGTGTACCCTGGCATAGCCAGGGCAAATGGACTGAAATCAAATACTAGTGAAGATCTGCTATGTGTCTACCTACTGGGGTAAAGTCTTAGTGTAAGGCATTGTCTCTGCCCTGCTTAGGGTCTAGCTGGGGAGATAAAATGAACACATTGGAAATTTCACACTAGCCCTCTCAGAGCTGGCTCCAAGCTCAGCAGAAGTTTCTAGAAGAGAAAGGGGCTGCAGAGGCCAGGGAGAGCTCCATGGAAAACCATAAGGGCTAAGTTGGGCATTAAATGATGGGTAAGAGTTAGAGACCAAAATGAGAGCGTTCTATGTTGCAAGTTGGGAAGTTTGGTGGGAAGTGGGGGTGGGGTGGAGGGCCCAGGATGCTTGAGAATAAAGTGGGGAGGGGTTACTTTTCCTGCTTTCCTAGTTGCTGTGTACAGCCTTTTACTTTCTAATATTCCATTGCCTAGAGAAATGGGTCTGTAGGGCTGCCCTGTTCCCCTGTGGGCCCAGGAGGATTCATAGCTAGCATGTATGCCTGTGTGGCCCACTGAGAGATGTCTTTTTCTATTGTGTTCTCCAAGAAGAATCTTCAAAGACAGGCAGGGAGGTAGCTATAATACCAGCAGGCCCTGACACAGTCTCTGAATGGATCTAAGTCTCAGGCTCTTAAAGGACCCAGGAATTACATGGCTCAAAAATAAGAGATTAGACCAGTTTGGTCTTTGCACAACCACTGCTCATAGTCAGGTTATTCCACTGTGGAGCTTTTTACACAGTACAGTAGCCATTACTGCCTGCACAAAGGAGAAAGCCCTCTGTTCATCAAAAGAAGAGCAAGCTAGGCTTTCGAGATCGACATGGATTCAGCCCCAGGATCTAAAATACAGAGACTACTTGGGTGCTAAAAATTGAAAGACGTAAAATTCAGAGACTGGTATGTTGAAGTGGGGAGGGGAGAGGAAGCCAAAGAGAGTGAAGGGGACCAAAGGGGGAGCAAGAGAGGGAGACAATCAGCATTTATTAAGTACCTACTATGTTCCAGGCACTGTGCTAAGTGTTGGGGATTCAAAAGGAAAAAAGGGCAAAAGACAGTCCATTCTCTCAGGGAGCTCACAGTCTAACGGACATGCAACATGCAAACAACTATGTACCCAAGAAGCTATAATACAAGATAAATTGTAGATAATCAACAAAGGGAAGGCACTAGAACCAAGGGTTTTTAGAAACAAAAGTTCTCCTCTCGAAGATGGGATTTTAGCTGGGATTTGAAGGGAACCAGAGAAGCCAAGGAATGGAAATGAGGAGGGAGAGCATTCCAGGCATAGGTGACAGCCAGTAAAAATATCTGGATTTGGGAGATGCACTCTCTTGTTTGAGGAGCAGCAAGGAGGTTAAGTGTAACTGAATTGCAAACTACATGGAGGGATGTAAGGTGTAAGAAGACTGGAAAGGTAAAGGGGGAGCTAGGTTTTGAAGTGCTCTAAGCACCAGAGGATTTTATATTTGATCTTAGAAGTGATAGGGAGCCACAGAATTTATTGGAGAGTAGGGTGACAGGGTCAGATCTGTACTTCAGGAAGATCACTTGACAGCTGAGGATGGACCTCAGTGGGAAAAGATTTGTGTCAGGAAAAACAGGCAGCGGGTTATTGCCTTGGTACAGAGGGAGGTGATAGGGGCCACCCCAGGGTGATAACAGTGTCAGAGGAAAGAAAGAGCATGTGTGAAATATGGAACAGAGGTAAAATTGACAGGCCTTTATAAGAGATTGGATATAAGAGTGAGAGAAAGTGAAGAATAGAGGGTGACACCTATGTTACTAGCCTGGGTGACTGGGAGGATGATGGTACCCTTAACAATAATAAGAAAGTTAGAAAGAGGGGAGAGTTGGGAGAAAAATAATGAGTTCAATTTTGGACATGTTGAATTTAATATGTTTACAAGACATCCAGTTTAAGAAGTCTAATAGGTAGTTGGAGATGAAACACTGGAGGTCAGTAGAGAGGTTAGGACAGTATAAGTGGGTTTGAGAATTATCAGTATAGAGATGATAACTGAATTCATAGGCACTTCTCT